TCTGTTCTGAAGTTACTGCCCTGCTTGAAGCCATAGAGAGAGATGGTATTCAACTTCAGGAGGTTCATGGACCTCAGGAAGCTTTCATCCACAGACCTCCAACGCTGAGAATGGAGTGTTATACTTGCAAGCTACTTGAGACAGGTTCCTTTCTTGGTCTAGAGCTACCTAAACTGGTACTCTAAAGAAAGAGTAAATGAGAAAGAAGCAGAACTAGCTTTCAGCCCAACATGGGATAAAGGACGATGCCCCAACATGAATTATCTAGAAAGGTCATAAACAGAAAAATGAAAGTGATTGTGTTGGGGTCTTGCCACTCTCCTTCCGCCATGAGGGGGACAGGTCAATCCTTTTTTAATATCCCTGACCAGTGGTTTTATGGTGTGTTTAAACTCTTACAATTCAGGCTACATATATGTAACAGAAAGGTTGAATGGGACTTAGCCTATATCAGTTTCCACTGTGAGGCCAGTTTGACAGAGATCAGGACACTAAAGTGAATGTAAGACAGACTGTCCCATCTCATGTGCAGATTAACTGAAGAAATGTTCCTAAGAATCTGCTCCATGACTCCTGGTTCCTCAGCCTGATCAGGAATAGAAAAGGGCTTCAGAGAAGATGGGCAGATTAGTGAAAAGATTTGCTTGGAAATAGCTGTTGTCAAGCTGTGAGTTATCCCCACCCCTTTGCAGGAGGGGCTGGTATTTCCTTCTAACCACAAGTGAGGGGGGCTTTACTGGGACCTCTCAGAGGGCTTTGACATGGCTCCATCTTGGGAAATCGAGGGGCTGGAGGAAACTTGAGGGCAGAACCAGAAGAGGCTACCCTGTTGGCATCAGCCTCCACACTAGTGATCATGAAAACAAGTGGTATGTGGGTATTTGCCTAAATCAGAAGTTGGCTTTCTTGGAGAGACTCCCATGTGAGGAAGTTTTGAGCCCTGCCTTTAAAAAATCACTTAAAGAGAAGAGTAATTCTTAGCAAAAAGAGACTGTAAGTTTATAGTGAATGCCCAGGGCTGAGGGTGGGGCATTAGTGACTGTCCAAAGTAGAGAAACATCTGTTCAGGTTATAAGAACTACAGCGGGGAGGGTCCTGTAGGGAACCTCTTAAGAGTCCATGAAAATATCACATTGATAAAGATGCAGAGCCACCATCCAGGCCCTTCCAGGTCTGACAGTTTTAATTAGCTGCTAGGATCAATGAGCTCAAAACCAACCAGCCAGGTAGGAATTTGCCTGATCCCTCACCTCTACTCCCCACCTGAATTTAGATGTTGGAGAAGTCCTAAACAAAAGCAAGCATATGGGAGAGGGAGGAAGCAGGCTAAGAGGAGAGACCTGGAGGGCAAGACCACCTTCCCTATATGTAGGCTCACAACCAGAAGGTCCAAACTGGGGGAGGGAGATATATCTCAAAGTTATGTTTAGAGCTTTGGTTATTATGTGCAGCTGGATATTTATTCTACTTACAAAGTGAGGTCGTGTTTGTCATTTAAAGTAACCACAGATCACACAAGAGAACAGAGAAGCCAAAGGGACCTGCCGAAACTTTCATTAAAGACTGGGGAAAGTTATCCCTATTGAAGAAAGTTTAAAGGGATAGTAGGTTTAAAAAAATAATAATAAAGGTACATATGGGTAACAACCCATGCATTTTGTTCATTGTATGTTTAAGTTATAAATACATAGGTAAAGTTTAGGGAAGTAGTCCTTAATTAGAGCTTTGTAGCAGATCCCCTAAGGAGATGCTTCAAAACGCACGTGCTCAGATTTCATCCTGGATATTCTGATTTGTCAGTTTGTGGTGGAGTACCAAGTGTATTTTTGGGGGGCACGGGGGAGTCTCCAGAGAATTCTGATGCTCACCTCCGAAGCACAGTTTACTTACATAAATTGGGAAGAACAATTTACTTATATAAAGCCATGGATTATAGTTCATTAATAACAAGTCATTGAAACAAAACAGGTTGGGGAGGAATGTAACTAACTTGCTGAATCAGAATTAATTTTGAGCTAGATGGGCCACGTTGTTTATATTGTGTAATATTTCTTCTGTTCTGCCAGGATTGGTACCTAATGCCAAAAGAGTAATGGTGAAGGCTCTAAAGAACAATTTGTATGTAATCATTGGAAGCGGGAGGTAGTGGACATGGAGAACCCACTGCAATCCTGAATGCAGAGTAGCCCAAGAAGCAGTATTCAGGAAAAGAATGCAGATTTGCTCCGCAGGAGGATTATGGCTGAGGGAGGCTTTTAAACATCACTACTGAGTTTCTGAAACTCTTATCCCATCTCCAACTCCTTCAACTGGAATGAATGATAAGCAACTGGAAGTGTAAAAAATCTTATGCAGTCTTCATTTCAAGTTCAATGATACAGCAAGTTGTAGTTAAGAAGGTTCAGAGGGAAAAATCAATGTTTCCTATTTTATGGAGCCACTAGAATCAGTTTGCTTCTTTCGAAGCATCGTTTGAGTTCATACTTATTTTGCCAATTCATACAATCTGTAATATTCAATCAATCATGTATGTATGACAAAATTAGCCTCTAAAATTGGTGTGGTAAGAGAGACAGAGAATCAGCTATATGTAACTGAATGTTCTTTTTTTTTCCCTGCCTGAAAGTATGTTTGAGAATTTAGTTATCAGTTCCTTTAAAACAGTCACAATAATTTGTTTGGTGCTTTATAGTTTTCAAAGTGTTCTCACAAACAATATCTCTTTTTTTACTCATAACAATCCAAGGAAAAAGGTATGACAAGTACTAAAATTCAATCAAATATCCTGACAACTGAAAGTAGCTAAAACCACTAAATGATTAAGTACCCTTTTACTTTTCTCCTAGACTCTGTAGATATATAGATAATAACTCTGAACAGCTTCATGGTTTACATGTATCATTTAGTAGAAAGCTTTTTTTAAGTTTTTATTTAAATTCCAGTTAGTTAACATAAACCATAATATTAGTTACAGTGTACAATATAGTGATTCAACGCTTCTGTACAAAACCCGGTGCTCATCACTATTACCTATTACCTATTACCAATTTAAGCCCTCCCCCTACCCACCTCCCAATGGAATATTACTCAGCCACAAAATAAAAAATGAAATCTTGCCATTTACAATGACATGGATGGAGCTAGAGAGTATAATGCTAAGTGGAATAAAGTCAGTCAGAGAAAGATAAATACCATATGATCTCACTCATATGTGGAATTTAAGAAACAAAGCAAACAAGCAAAGGGGGCGTTGGTAGAGAGAAGCAAACCAAGAAAGCTTTTCTACATGACAAAAATTCTGACTAATTTGGTGCCCTTACAGAGGCTGACTTTATCCAAACAGGAGCCTTGTGAGAGACATTGAAGGTTAATATTGGAAGGGTACTATCATGAAGTAGCTCCAGACCTCCAAGACCATCCCAGGCCTCTAGGAGTTAGTTTTCTGATTCTACATGTCACTTTGAAACAGCCAACCAAATGCATAAGGTCTCTCTCTCTTAAGACTTGTCATTTGTTTTCAGCTCAACAGCTGAGTCACAAAGGAAGGAAACATTTCTGAGGGTTTAAAGAAGCTGGTCTTTCTTATAATTAGCAAACACCTGCTGTCATAGGTAAGGATGGTGTGGAAAGGGCTAAATAGAGCAAAGTCTGAAACAGAACATCCCAAATGTCATTTAAAGTGCAAATCCTAAGTTGCATGATTCTGGAGTTTTCAATCAGAACCCTAGAGAAAATATCCATGAGATCGAATTTAAAACCTCTCCATGTAAGCCCATGTAAAGTCAAATGAGTAAAACTCCCACAATACATTTGTCTTCCCATATCTCTGTCTAGAATCTTTATGAAAATGTAGAATGAACATCTAGTTGGAGTCCTGATTCCACAGAGTAGCCAGGTAGCCTTGGCTGAAGCCACTTCACTTCTACTCACCATCCTTTGACATCTGTAAAACTAGGATATTACCAGTTACCTTACCTTCAGATTACATGGTATAAAATGTGAAATTATTTTACAAATTTCAGACCACTATACAAATGGAAGATTATTATTTCTATAGGATGTCCCATCCACCTGGGCAGCACATAATAGAACACATTTTGGCCTTCACAGTTACTATTGTGAGCTCCTTATTTCTGTCATCGTAGCACACTGCTTTCTACTCCTTTCTTACATCAACTTGGCCCTCATCCTTCTAGGTAGTGTCTCATGCTCTGGCCTTTGCTTGATGACTGAGTTGATTTATCTGTGTTGACCCTAGGCAAACCACCTACCTGACCAAATTCTGATCCCCAGGGTTCCATCCTAGTGTCATAAGTCTGGCTAGTGCCTCTCCTAGGATATAACCCTGAAGGTGGAAGGGAATATTTGTCTCTCTTACCTCAATTCCATTCCCATTTCCTAGGTGCTAGCAAAGTGACTGCATGCGGACAAAGGACAATCTTGTGGGACACAGATAAGGGTGAAAGGGAGCTTGGGCACTCTCCACATTCCTTACATTTTTTTAATTCCCCATGTCATCACTTCTGCCTTCCAACAGCAGAATTGAGTCAGGAGAATTGGCCGTTCCAGCCTCCCTTCTACTATGATGCAGACAAGAGACCTCAATCAGGTCCACCAATCAGATACACCCATGAGACATCTATTTGGAAGTGAGCAATGTGAGTGTGAAGGCTTGCCAAGGCATTTATTGTTGATATGGGTGACCGTGAAGAGTCCAGTTTGAAAAGTAGTAACATAACATAATAAAATAAAAAATAAAAAAAAGAAAGTAGTAATAACAGTTGTACAAAGGTCAAGTTCCTGGAATGGGCGGCAGCTGCAGTTAGGTTGGGTCTTGCAGCAGACGGAGACAGCAACAGCAGGTTCCTCACAAGTTCCCTTCTGCAGCATGGTTTTCATGGTTGGTTTTGAAAGCTTAGGGTAGAGTCTGTTTCTCTCGCCCTGTCAGCAATTCTGAGCCACCTAGTGCACTTTAATAAATTCCCTTTGTATGACAAAACTGACTCACAGAGGCGGAGCTGCTTTCCAAGGGTCGCACAGGTAGTTAGAGCTGAGATGAAAAGGGAAACACTGTGTCATCTCCACAACACATTGAACTGTTTAGTGAAAGTTGTTGATTCAAATTACTCATCCTTTCTTACATACTCTTTAATATTTAGCTATTCATTCAGGCTTTTTTGCTCCTGGCTAGAACCTACAGACCAAGAATGTGACCATCAAAACATCATGATCTTGGGTGCCTGGGTGGCTCAGATGGTTAAGCGTCTGCCTTCGGCTCAGGTCGTGATCCCAGAGTCCTGGGATCGAGTCCCACATCGGTCTCCCTGCTCCTTGGGAGCCTGCTTCTCCCTCTGCCTCTCTCTCTCTCTCTGTCTCTCATGAATAAATAAATAAAATCCTTAAAAAAAAAAATCATGATCTTTGGAGTAGAGAGGACAGTTTTGCAAAGAATTACAGTGACTTCCCTTGACACAAGCATTTAAGTGCTATGACATGCTCTCAACTGAAATGACCCCCAGTGACTCAGATGTGTTTCTCTAGTGGAGGGTTATGCACTCAGTGACTCTCTCTGAGTCATTTCAAGGCAACAGAATCCACAGCTCTTTATCAGACAAAAGCACATTGTTGAGGATTATCAGGGTCTGCAAGGGCCAGTGGGCTTGTTTGTGACTCAGAAGGGAGCCAGGAGGGCAGAAGTGAGACCTGCCTACTGTGACTTGTTTTACTGTTCCTGTGTGGTTTTCATATATGCCTTTTGGTATTCTGACCCAGACATCTCAGTGATGGCAAAGCAAGTGGTCCTTTTTGGAACATGCATTGGGGGATATAAAAGGAGATGTATGCAATAGATGGACTGGCAGAAATAAGCAGTCCCCAAATTAAAATGTGTTCATTGTGGCACTTGTGAATTATATAGAGCAAGTATTCAATTCCAGCCTCATCTCCCACTCATTTGCTGGTATGTTTAGGGAATGAAATTGGCTTTGATATTCTTCTAAGGAATACTACTGGGAAGCAAATCTGGAAAAAAATGATCACAAATCAAAGAGTAAACATTTTCAAATTACCAGTTTCTCCCCTTTATCTGTGTCTTCCATTAGACATGTTGCATGGATCCCAGCACATTGTGCTTTAAATTTAGGTCTGAAATAACAATAGCTACTAACTTCCCTCCTCATCTACCTCATTAGAATATCCCTGACACAGAATTACATTTACATTTTATTTTGGTTCTAAGTTACTGCAATAATCTACTACAGTAGATTTTAGCCTGATCCTAAGTCTTTTACTATAGGAATTAAATAAAGTTGTCTGTTATTGGAAATTTCAAGGTTTACATTCTATGTTCAAAGCCATGCAGCCTAAAAATAGGATGGGTACAAACCACTGACATCCTGAGTCAGATTTTTTTAGTACCAGATATTTAGTAGCAAAATTCTTACTTCACAGGAAGTTTTACTCAAAATCCCAATATATAAAATAGATATAAGGGATATTTGATTACAAAGTTTATGTTTAAAATATGCAAAACATACTTGTTTTAACATCAGTGAGAACACTGGAATAATCCTGACAAAAATTTGAAATCAGGAAAGTGATTGACAGTTACAGTCTTATATTAAAATCCACATGTAATATATTCCTGTATACTTTGGGTTGCATAGTAATGAGAAGAATGTAATTCACATAGATAAGCATTATAAAAGTGGAAATTTTAATGGCTTGCTTTGAAACCTCAAGATATTTTTCGGCAATTGTGATTCTAAAACTTTAAATAGGAGTATATGAAATTATGTTCCAAAGGTTGAAACTTATGAACGTGAAAGTTAAACAAAAAGTACCCAAAACATCTATAATTCAATTTCACTGTGGCGCAACTGATTATGTATTCACTTGTTATTACACAATTCATGATTATTCAGTGGCAGGGGCATCAGCTGAGAATGCATGTTTAAGTAGTCCTTGGCATTTAATTATTGAGGCTTGTATATAACATAAATATGTACTTCCCTGTACATTTACATGTAAAAAGACACATGCAGACCTGAATTTGCATGAAAGTACTACAATTTCCCTGATCTCACCCTTTTACAGAAAGTTCACCTATCTGTGGAAATGGTAGGAGAAGACTTTAGTCCAAGTCTTAAGCGTGAAAACATACACATATATATACACATTCAAACACACAGAATTTACTAGCACCACACATTAACAAATTAGAGATTCTTCTCATGTTAAAAATGCAATATATCACCTATGAGTGGCATGATGTTTTTGAATTGTGATTTTTAAATAATAAATATAATCAAACACTTATAATTCCTTCAAAACTTCTGGAAAAGTTAGAGTCTCTGAGCTCTGAACATCACTGTCATAAATTACAACCCATAGGCTGAAATAAAGGATTAAAAAGAGAAAGCAAACTCTTCATCCTCATCGCCATGACTGGCACAAAGTGGTACTAACAGATCCGTCTGTCCAGTGCACCAGAAGTATTCAAACACAAATGAGAGTAATACGGTGAGTGGATAGTTCATGTACACATGTCCAAAAGATGCAATTACATAAGAAGAAATTCTTACCCATAAAATAGGAAAAATTAGTATTTGGCCCAGAATCTTGGTCCTAATCAGTAGATTATTCATTTTGCTTCTCTAGAAGTCTAAGAAGGGGCCATACATTTTGAGAGCTCTCATGTGGGTAGAGTATATCCATTCTGTGCGTGGAACACGAGCTCTTCTTCCTCTGTCACCCAAGAGCAATTTCTGTCCTAAAATGATCTTTAGAGGAGATGTATATTTTCTTAATAAGGTCTTTTTTTTCCCCTTTGAAATTGGATACAAATCAGCAGTTTGTCTAACAGACCAATATATATAAGGGACAGAAATGATCAATACATGTATTTGTCCTAGCAATGACCATTGAACATGAGACTGATCAGAGGTGAGGACATGGACAGGAATGTGTAGTCCTATGTAGCCCACCAAAGGTTTGCTCTCTAGCTACCAGGACAGTATTTTGCTACCGGTAGAGGAACTTTGTCGTGCAGGGTACATAAATCATTTGGTACCCTGTCCATGTACAGTGTGCAAACAACACAGACTTTTTATTTTGACGTTTTTAGTGGCTACAAAGATAAATAATGTCACAGCACCCCTTTAGTTCATTCCCTCCAGAATTCAGCTTGTTTTCAGTATATGCAGTGTTTAAATGAATTCCTACCCTGACTCCATACTCCTGCCCCACTTACTTTGGGCAGCCTTAAAGATGATTTTACCATTTCACAACCTATAAATCATTAAATCTATAGATTCTACCAAGGGATATGAAAGTTGCTGCTTCAAAGTTTTCCCGAGGAACCAGGAAGAATTCAATTCCTACAAAACTTGCAATGCTGGACACACCTGCTAAAGGAGCTTGTGATTTCTAAAGAAAGGGCGGGATTTCTCTGGGAGCATGGCCATGCATTTTTGGTCCAATCACCATGACTGTAGCAGGACTTAATCCAGGCTCAGATTTGCAGGCCAGGACCAAAGTGGGCCTATGAAGGATGGAGAATGGAACTCTTGCTAGATTGAAGTAACTAGGAGATTTCTACTCTGGGAATTCAGAAGACCCCCTGGAAGTGTGAGGAGAAAGGGTGAAACTCTAGTTAGAGATTTGTCACTTTCAGGTAGGCCTGATTAACCATAGATTAACCTCAGAGACACTCAGGATAGCTTGGCAAATTCCCCCCAAAGTCTAGGAGCAACTATGATCTTAAACATAATACTATACTATACCTTCAACTGACAATAACTCACAATGCACAATATACAGAAAGCCCTTGATGGATACTATTGAAAACAAGGAAAGTGGATTTACTTTTCTCTTCAACCGTCTCATACTGAGTAAAAAAAAAATATATATGGATGGAACACAAATTTTTCATGGGGCTCATAACTGAATACTGAACCCAGATTTATTTCACTCTTTCTGGAACAAGGAATTTGGGATCTCTTATCAACTCAGGTATTCCTAATGAATAAAAGTCCATTAATTCAACAAAAGCATCTTAAAATCTTAAATATTCTTAGGAAATACTAAGTGTTGAGAGCTGTCAGGGACAAAACTCAAATCGTATGATGCACAAGCCAATCTGTGTTTGTCTCAATTGAATTTGAACCTTCTCTTTTTTAAGGTATCTTTTTTCACAAGCTTGTCCTCATAATGCTCTCAAGAGGTAACTCTGAATTACTAAATTTCCCTATCTCAAATTGTCTTTTTTTAAAAGTGTTTATTTAAATTCCAATTGTTAATACACAGTGTAAAATTAGTTTCAGGTATACAGTACTTCCATACAATACCCGGTGCTCATCACAACAAGTCAAATTATCTTTTTTAAGAACAAAGGAGAACTTGGTCAGTGATGGCACCCTGGTACAGAAGGAGCACTAACCTAGGAGGCGAAAGATGTAAGAAACACTTTGATCACGTACCTGAGTGGCCTCAGACAGATTCCTCAATTTCTCTGATGCTTGATTTTCTTGTCTGAATGATGAGAAGATTGAACAAGATAGCCTTTTAGGTTCTCTTTAAATTTAAAGTTCTATGCCTCTTTGACTTAGGCTAAGTCTATTTCCTCATTTCAAAAATGTAGGAGATAATGGGGCAATCCTGATGTCTCATAGAATGTTTTAAAAAGTATATAAAATGCTTGGGATAGAATAGCCTGCATATAATCTGGACAAATATGTAAGCCAAGCATTACGTTATGCATTTTATATACAATATGTCAAAGAGCCTGGCCAATATTAAGTGGAATATGCTTTTTACCCACCATCTTGCTCTACCGTGCAATGTTTCTTTAGAAGTCACTGCCTCTTTCTTGTGTTGGAGTGAGGAACGGAAGTCCAAAGAGATTTATGGATGTGAAATTCAGTCTGTTGAATGTAAAAAGCCAGAGTACAAAATGTAATTATAATGTGGCTAGAAAGAAAATAAGAAATTTGCATATCATGGATCCAGTAGTAGGGAAATTTCTTTAAATTAGAATTGTAGTCTTCCTTCCATGAATAAATCTTTAGCCTTAGCACATATTAAATTAACATAAGGTCAGTTCTTCCCCTACCTCAACATAGCATGGTTTTAAGCTATAAGAAGCCAGGGAAATAATTTAATTCAAAGCTCTCATTTTGGAAGTAAGTAAATTGAGACTTGAAATGTGTACCACCAACATGCACAAGATTGTAGGACTGAAGTAGTGGTGCTGGGACTCTTCTGATATCCAGTCTGTTGCTCATTCTGCTGTAGTTAAGCAGTCACCGGAGAAGAGTATGGAGTATGGAGAGGCAGGGAAGAATACTAGTGTTTGTTTTAGTTTAATTTTAGTTCCCTGTGATCTAATCCTCTTTGAAACTTAGCTGATACCAGCTATTTTCCCTCTTTGTCTTTAGTTGTCCCCTAGAGCACTAGAGAAAGGGCATTGTGGTTCCCAGGGCAGCAGCCCCGATTCCTGTGTTAATTTGTCCCCTGGGATGGAACCCAACCTCATCACAGCCTGACATTTAGATGAGCCCAGAGTTCTCCCTATTCCAGCATTGAAATCATTGAGAAATGTCTAAATTTGCTTTGAAAAGACTGTCGGTAAAGTCCAATGCTGGGATGAGCTAGAGCTAGCTCAAAGCCTCCATTTTCCCTTGATTTCACTGTTTTAAAATAAAAAGAAACCATTAGAGGATGGGTCTATATCCTAGGCTTTTTAGAAAAAAATACAGGCTATTTACCACAATGCTGCAATTAACCAGATTCTTCTGGTTGAATCCATAGGCTATTCAAGCATGTATTTAAATGAAAAACTGGACAGAATTTTTAGTGACTCTACTTCCATCCGCTCTTGCAACCAAAATACACCTGGTAGGTCTTAGGAAAAATCTGTATGAGGGTGAAATTTTAGCATGGTTGGGAGTAGCATTTTCCAAATGAAGAATATTAATATCTTATTCACTGAAAAGAAAGAGGAGGAAACAGTATCTGGTAAGCTTGAAACAGTGACTGTAGTTTTCAGATGACAAGTAAGAAGCTGAGATGGCTAATTATTATCCAGGAGGTGTCATTAAAATATTAGCTCATGAAGTGTGATTACAGAGTGCAAGCCTACGCAAAACTGCCTATTTTTCTACACACTGAGACTTGAAAAGTTACTTTTCTTTATCATTAGTGTTATTATCATTGCTAGAATGATAAGAGGACATTACATAACCATGTCAAGTGAGTCTCAGCACTTCCACAAGTGATTGAGTGCGGCCTTTCATGGAGGACTTCTAGAATAACACCAGGTCATTAGAGCAAATTCCTCATATGCCCAAAACTCTGAGTAATGCAATCATCTTAAACTTTCACAATTACCAGAATGTTAGCATTTTTTAACAGTGACCTTACTCTAGGCGCTTTCCTACTGATGCACATTTTTCTTATAAAGCCCATGTTAGAAATAATTATTCAAGTTACCAAAATCTGGTGAGGAATGAAAAAGGTGGATTTGACACCCAGATATAGCCTATTAACCACAGTGTGGTAAATAACTTTACTTCATTTTTAAACCTTTGAAAATATAGTAAAGATGATTTTCACATGTAGGGACTAAAATAGTTACTGGGAGATAAGTAAAGATGATTTCTCACTGAAATGTGGATAAGCTCTCAAAGGTTTAAGTCACACTTGAACTAGGACTCCTACTATTTTTAAAAATCATGTTTATTGAAGTATATTTCATATTTAATAAAATAACTCCTTTTTAGTGCACGGTTCTGACTTTTGACCATGCATGCAATGCATAACCACCACCACAATCAAGATATAGAACATTTTGGGCGCCTGGGTGGCTCAGTTGGTTAAGCGACTGCCTTCGGCTT